TGACACCTCAGGCAAAACAGCTGGCTGACACCTCAGGCAAAACAGCTGGCTGACACCTCAGGCAAAACAGCTGGCTGGCACCTCAGGCAAAACAGCTGGCTGACACCTCAGGCAAAACAGCTGGCTGACACCTCAGGCAAAACAGCTGGCTGACACCTCAGGCAAAACAGCTGGCTGACACTTCAGGCAAAACAGCTGGCTGACACCTCAGGCAAAACAGCTGGCTGACACCTCAGGCAAAACAGCTGGCTGACACCTCAGGCAAAACAGCTGGCTGACACCACAGGCAAAACAAAGCAATGTATGTAAGAAATTTAAATTGACTAGTAACATCGGAGATCACACCCACAACAGACAGTCACAGACAGAAACATCAGAAATGCTAAACAAGAATTTGTAGTACGAATTGCAGAAAACATCACAGGTAATCGCAAAGAATTCTTCAAATAAGTAAGAGAATAAATGCTTTAGAAAAAGGATAAAAGCAACGACAGGATCTTTGTTTAGCAGTAACGAAAAAAATAGCGAATAAGAACAGGGATCGGCGTTCACACACAACTCACTCCTCGGGTCATTGTTTACAACTGATCATGATATGCCCCGAGGCAGCACAATTTGTTGTCAGGGCCTGACATCGCTAAACCAAGTATTGACGAAATTAACGGCCTTCATATAATAAAATCCTTGGAGATGATGAGTATTAACAAATCAAACGGACGACGAAATACCTGCCAGAGATATAAGACTGTTGATACCAGATCCCCTGCCCAATAACAGTTATATTTATCAAATTAGAAGGCAAGGTGTCCGTAGGCTGAGGACAAAATCTGTGTCAACTAACTAACTATCTATCTATCTATATACATACATACATATATATATGCAATAAGATCACAGTAAACAGGTGATTCAATATGCAAACAACCTCGAAAAAAAAAATTCCAACGCTTTCGTGACTACTCACATTATCAAGGTAACTATATATATATATATATATATATATATATATATATATAATATATATATATATATATATATATATATATATATATAATATATATATATATATATATATATATATATATATATATATATATATATATATATATATATATATAATATATATATGCATAACAACCACTCTGAAAGAATAGAGAAATTCCAAGCGCTTTCGTGACTACTCACATTATCAAGGAACTATGAAAGTAAAGCATCCAAGGAAGGTATATAAGGGGTCTGGCCAATACCTCACTATCAGATCCCACAACGGTTAAACACCTGACGCGCGCCGGCCCAACTGGACAGGTCCTTTGCACAACCCACCAACAAACTATTCTACCAAGAAAATTTTTAAAAATTATTATTTGTCCAGTGTATTATTAATTCTAATTAATTATAAATGGATCTAATTTATATAAACCAAAGGAAATATTCATATTATTGTCAAAACTGCTTTTTATGAAACAAGATTCAATTATATTCCTGTCGACCATGGACTTGCTTGATACTATTTCTCAACTTTTTGAAAATCAATTGGATGGTTAAAATCTCTTACATGAATAAATAGAGCATTGGAATCTTGTCCAGTTCTAATGCTATATTTATGTTGTTTTAATCTTAGTTCGAGATTTTTACCAGTTTGACCGTAATAAACTTTATCGCAAATTTTACAAGGAATCTTATAGACACATCCATCAGCATTTTGGGGGGAATTCTTTATCAAAAGTTTTTTTTTACTGTATCAAGATTTTTGAATACAACTTTAATATTAAAAGTCTTAAGAAGAGAAGGCTTTATCAACCAAGTTTTGATGGTAAGGAGAACCAACCCTATTTTTAGTTGAATAAGGCTGGTTGTCCCTTTTTGGGTTGTAAAAAGTATTTCTAGCAACTTTAAAAGATTTATCAATTACATTTCTTGGTATTTTAAATCATTACCAAATTTCATAAATTTTGGATATTTCCTCATCTATGAACTCAGGACTACAAATTCGTAAAGCTCCCCAAAAACATTGATGAAAAAAACAGACAGTTTGACTCTATCTTGATGCGAAGAATAATAGTGGACATAGGAACAGTTATTTGTAGGTTTTCTGTAAATTTTAAATTTGAATTCATTATTATCCTTAATAATTAAAACATCTAGAAAAGGTAATGAGTTATTTTCTTCAAACTCAACAGTAAAGTTTATGGAATGGGCTAAGCTATTTAATTTTCCAAGGAAATGGTGTATATCTACATTTTTGGGCATAAGACACAAAATATCATCAACATATCTGAACCATTTAGCTCTACTAGGGAGGATTGTGTTAAGCAACCTTGTTTCAAAAAATTCCAAAAATTCAAAAAATACTCTTTTAATCAGGCCATTCCATCAGAATGGAAACACAGTATGTTAGATCATTGCTATAATAAACTCAGAAGAATTTGTAATGAACTCAAAAACAAACTACAAAGAAAATTAGACATTTTAATTGAAAATAGTGATTGGACAAAGCATGCTAATAACAATTTTGTAATTAACTGATCAGATGAAATTTTAGACAAAAATACAACTGCTGCTCTAAGTTTTGGCCTAAGTTTTGCAACTTCAAAAAAACTTAATAATGTTGAAATTGCAAAAGCCTTTTGTAACTTTGAAAAATTTTTTCTGATTTGTCCTCTGATTGAAATTAATATTAGTAAAGGAATGGTATATAGCTCTATGTTGAAACCAAACATTCCCAATTGCCCTCAAAGATTCTTTAAGGCTTATGATACACTTAATAACAAAAAAAAATTTGCGCCTTACTAAAGCAGACAAAATAAATGCAAGAGTAATTATGAAAGAAAATGATTACCAAGAAAAAAATGAATAATCTCTTAGATTGATACTGAAACCTATTCGAAACTTAGGAAAAATCCCCCTAGAAACCGTTAGCAGCAATTTCAATAAAACAATAAAAACTTCTACTGAAAGGCAAAGATGAATTAGTCAAACAATTTACTTCCACTAATCCATTTTTACCTTACATGTATGGACTAATAAAAACACACAAACCAGGAATTCAGTCAAAACCAAATTTATTAGCTCCATAGGGTCATTTTTCATATAAATTATCCAAATGGCTTGTTTGATATTTGAGCCCTATTGTTGGCAAATTTCTAACTTTAATGTTAAAAACAACATAGACATAGTTGATAAATTAAGCTCCTTGACAGACTTAAATGATTTTAACATGGTTATTTTGATGTTATTTTCCTTGTTTACGAAAGTCCTGTTGATGATTTATTAAGTTTTCTTATCTGAAGAACTCGTTAACAAATGATTTACCATTGCCAGTTCCTACTATCATTAAATTTATTAAACTTTGCATTGTTGATGCAAAATTTGTATTTAATGATAAGTTTTACACTCGAAGTTTGGAAAGGCAATGAGAAATCCTTTTTCCCAACCTTTTTCTTAGTAACCTAAAACATGGATTTTTTTGAAACAAAAATTGCTTAACACAATCCTCCCTAAAGAGCTAAATGGTTCAGATATGTTGATGTTTATTTTGTGTCTTATGCCCAAAAATGTAGATAAACACCATTTCCTTGGAAAATTAAATAGTTTTAGCCCATTCCATAAACTTTACTGTTGAGTTTGAAAAAAATAACTCATTACCTTTTCTAGATGTTTTAATTATTAAGGGTAATAATGAATTCAAATTTAAAATTTACAGAAAACCCACAAATAACTGTTCCTATGTCCACTATTATTCTTCGCATCAAGATAGAGTCAAACTGTCTGTTTTCTCATCAATGTTTTTTGAGAGCTTTACGAATTTGTAGTCCGAGTTCAAGATGAGGAAATACCAAAATTTATGAAATAGGTAATGATTTAAAATACCCAAGAAATGTAAAATTGATAAATCTTTTAAAGTTGCTAGAAATACGTTTTACAAACCAAAAAGGGACAACCAGCCTTATTCAACTAAAAATATGTTGGTTCTCCCTTACCATCAAAACTTGGTTGATATGCCTTCTCTTCTTAAGACTTTTAATATAAAGTTGTATTCAAAAATCTTGATACAGTAAAAAAACTTTTGATAAAAAATTCCCCCCAAAATGCTGATGGATGTGTCTATAAGATTCCCTTGTAAATTTTTCGATAAAGTTTATTACGGTCAAACTGGCAAAAATCTCGAACTAAGATTAAACAACATAAATATAGCATTAGAACTGGACAAGATTCCAATGCTCTATTTATTCATGTAAGAGATTTTAACCATTCAATTGATTTTCAAAAAGTTGAGAAAATAGTATCAAGCAAGTCCATGGTTCGACAGAATATAATTTATCTTGTTTCATAAAAGCAGTTTTGACAATAATATGAATATTTCCTTTGGTTTATATAAATTAGATCCATTTATAATTAATAGAATTTGGGAAGAATTTAATAATACACTGGACACTTGGGTAGAATAGTTTGTTGGTGGTTGTGCAAAGGACCTGTCCAGTTGGGCCGGCGCGCGTCAGGTGTTTAACCGTTGTGGGATCTGATAGTGAGGTTTGGCCAGACCCTCTTATATACCTTCCTTGGATGCTTTACTTTCATAGTTCCTTGATAATGTGAGTAGTCACGAAAGCGCTTGGAATTTCTCTATTCTTTCAGAGTGGTTGTTTGCATATTCTGAAATCACCTGTTTACTGTGATCTTATTTCATATAATATATATATATATATATATATATATATATAATATATAAATATATATATATATATATATATTTTATATATTTTATATATATATATATATATATAACCCAGGTACCCATTTTACTGAGTGAACAGGGACAGCAGGTGTCTTATGGAAACACGTCCCAAATGTTTTCCGGCCATATCGGAGGAGATTCGAACTCCGTAGCTGTCCGTAGCTGTCCGTAGCTGTCCGTAGCTGTCCGTAGCTGTCCGTAGCTGTCCGTAGCTGTCCCGTAGCGATCGAGCTACGGGACAACTAGTTACATTGTGTCCTAGTGGAAGTAGCTAGACGCTTCAGGATCTACATGCTCAGTATAAATCTATCAGTCAAGATTGCTGGTCAGCCCAAAATGTTTTATATGGCAGAAAACACGATAATGAGCTACGTTAGGTAAAAGGACACAAGTTCAACTAATGTGACATTTTACTGTGGCAACGTTTCTCTCTACAGGAGCTTTGTCAAGCAGTTACGTTGCCATAATAAATTGTCACATTAGTTACACTTGTGCCCTTTTACCTAACATATTGTCGGTAATTCTACCAACATTATTACAATAATGAGTTACAGTGACCAACATGATATAGGGTATGGTGAGGGAGGACAGGAGAGAGATATTGCCTATTGCACTCACTGTCTCACCAACCACTCACTAACTCATGCGAGACTCACGAGGATCGTCATGTACATACAACAGATGAGGCAATCTCAAGTCAACAGATTCCTGATGTTTGGTCAGTGACTTCGTCGGGACGAGCAGTTGACAGCGAGGCATCTGAGTTACTAACAGTAGTAGTGGTAGAAGCAGAGTTGTGATAGTCATGATTGAACTAGTGGCAACCGGAAGTAGAACCACTGGTACACACAGCTGTGTGAGTGGAAATGGAGCAACATGAGTAATTATGATAGTAATACTATTACAGTAGGGATAGTTGCAGTCCACGCCTTCCATCCAGTTCCATCTTACGTAAATTTTATGCCGTTTTTTCAACAGTGTATGGTATATTTTCCTCCGTTTTTTCATACCTGTCCCTGCCAGCATGAAAATATAAGTCCTTAATCTGGATAAAAGCCGATAGTTTTTCTCAGCAGAGAGCGTATTCTATCTTTCCTATGTACTCTGTCTGGCTGTTTGTCTGACTGTCAGTCAGTCTGTCTGTGTCTCTGTCTGTCTCTGTCTCTCTTTTTCTCCTGTTCATCCGTACCTCTCCCACTACACATCTATCTAATGCACACCCACTGTCACCACAACCTTTACCATCACTACCACCATTGGCGCTACTAGCACATCCACTACCATCACTACTTGCATGCATGTAACGTAACGTTGCACAACCACCATTTGCAGTGACGGGGACGATGTTGGAGGCTGGGCAGTACCGAGCCTCATTAGCGGTGTTGGCGGCGGTGGTGGTATTCCTGGTGGTGTCCTCCTGCGTGTGGCGACGCACCAAGATGATCATGGCTCTCTACTGCCGCAGCAAGACCAACACACCGCCAGGTACTGCTACTTCTACTAAATGGCTTGCTAGTACTATTCCTCCATCTCGTGCTACTACTACTGCTACTGCTGCTATTACTTTTACTACTACTACTTTTACTACTACTATTACTACTCTATTGCTATTGCTGCTACTACCTCTACTATTGCAATTGCTGACGCAACGGCAGCTTATAATAATTACTGCTAGAGCTACGACTACTTATGTAACTACTGCTACAACTTCCGCAACTAATATTACTTTAGGCAGTGTAAACTATTGCTACCTAAGCAAACGATTATTCTTCCAGCAGTGTAAACTATGAGTTAACTTTTCGACTCCATTAGCTTTTGGCCTCAAAGCTGCCAGTATGGATCTAGTTGAGGTCTGAAATGTTATCAGGATAAATTTAGGTGTTACGAGTGATAGGATCGAAAAATATTGAAACCTATCAAAATAGTTATTCTCTAGTAAATGACCAGATTTCAGAGATTTCTTTTTTTGTTGCCCAAATACTCTCGGGATCTCGGGATCTCGGGATCTCGGGATCTCGGGATCTCAGGATCTCTCGGGAGATCTTCGTGAAATATTTGGATCGGCTTCAGTTTGTGTGATGCAATTGTAGTTTGTGTGGCGCAGTTCTGATTCATGTTACGCAGTTCTAGTTTCTTTGACGCAGTTCAGGTTCGTGTGACGTAGTTCTAGTTCTCGTGACGCAGTTCTGTTTTGTGTGGCGCGGTTCTAGCTTGTTGACGCTTCTCCTGTACGGATGTGAGAGGAAGATGACACTTGCTTGTGGTAAACAAACAGTGGTTTAACGAGACTAAACCAGTTTATTTGTCTTCAAGCTGATCTCTAGGCATCAGTACTCTAAGACACTGTACTCTACACCCTATTACTCTAAACACAAGTACCTTAGGCACAAGGATTCTAGATCCTACTACTTTATATCCTAGTACTCTAGATTCCAGTGCTCTAGAGCGACTGTTGACCTGGGTATTTGGACAGTCATGCGTGTTTTAAGCACATTCAGACATATTCTAGCTACATACAGGTTTATTTTCATGACATTCATGTTTTAGGCCTACACTGGCATATTTTAGGCACATGCAGCCATATCTGAAACACATACTGGCATATGTTAGGCTCATGCAAACATTTTGGGCACATACATGCATGTTTTACTCCAGTGCAATGCATATTTTAGGCGCAATTGCACATTTTAAGCACATTCATGCATATTTAGTAGAGATAAAAAATAGAGGCTGGAGTGTTTGTTTTCCAAGTGGTTCTCTGAGTACACTGACGTGTGTTTGGCTAATAAACTGACCATCACTGATAATGTTATGGTTCTCCCTGTTGCTTGTCTCTGTCTTTAAGCTGGTCAGTTATTCTTTTATTCACAAAGTTCTTTACACTAACAGTCCTTCATGATTCTCAAAACTGCTTAAAGCAGAAAAAAAAATGGAAGCATCAACTCGAAGGTTCTCAAACTTTTGTACTACTACTACTACTACTACTACTACTACTACTACTACTACTACTACTACTACTACTACCACTAAAATAATAATAATAATAAATAATAATTAAATAATAAAATAATAATAATGATAATAATAATAATAATAATAATAATAATAATAATAATAATAATAATAATAAAATAATAATAATAATAATAATAATAATATATTTCTACATGTGCAAGGTATACAGGCCTAGCTGACATTAATGATATACTACTATATAGAAAGCCGCTTGGTGTGCTGAGCATTTCAGGCAAATTAGGTCAGTTATGTCCCAGGATGCGACCCACACCGGTTGACTAACACCCAGGTTCCCATTTTATAGTGATAGGTGAACAGGGGCACCAGGTGTCTTACGGAAACACATCCTTAATGTTTTCCAGCCGTACCGGAGATTCGAACACCGGACCTCAGTGTGTGAACTGAGTGCGCTAGCGATCGACCTATGGGACACCTATTCTGGACTGTTTCTCTAGGCATCTTCCAAAAATTTACCACAGAAAACATACCATTACTTCTTAGTACCCGGTTCACTGCAGCGCCTCAGAGGCGCTGCAGTGAACCGCTGCAGCGCTGCCTGAGCTGACTTCAAAACCTGGTTCTACCATCCTCAAGGATTCCATTCACAAGGCTCGACAAACGCCAAGGTACCTATTTACTTCTAGGTAAACACGCAGGTGCACCCAGTCTTACCCATATTTCTCGATCAGCCCGGGAGTCAAACCTTTTGTCCTTACATTGTGGACCCAACGGTCGAACCAAAATGACAACTCGTACAAATATTTTAAGCAACAGTATCTCGCTTTATAGATCTCCTGCTGCAACTTAGCGGAGGCCTACTCAGTAGGCACTCGTAGGCACATGAAGTGCCTATAGAGTGCCAGGATTCCGGCTCTTCGTTAGTGCTAACGCCTCGCTGACTCGAATAGAGACTAACGAGATATTGTTGGAAGTCGACTAGATTTGTGTGTGTGCTGCCGAGTTTAGTCTCATTAATATGGAAATGTCTTGTGTCTGGATCTCTCTCTCTCTCTCTCTCTCTCTCTCTCTCTCTCTCTCTCTCTCTCTCTCTCTCTCTCTCTCTCTCACTAACCGCTTCGTCTCTAGTAATTTCACGGACGAATACAAAATGCCTAGAAATCACTAGGTGAGGCACAAATAACAAAGAAAGAAATAGCCCTTGGAGTTGAAATTAGTAATGATTCTTCATTACTTACCAAAACAGTGATTCAGGCCACGAGGTACACAGCTTACATAATTCGCAAAATCAGTGCTGGAAAATGTTCCGTACGAAGCGTCAGAATCAATGCTGATGCTCTGCAACAAGCTGGCCAGATGTGCTTTGAGTTCTACTCGAATTTTGAACAAGCCTGACCAGGGTGTTTCCTGAATTCTGTAATACCGGTGCCAAAAAATATTTTGGCACCGATATTACAGAATATACGAAGAGTCAACTATTGCACTATGGCAACGCAACACCAATAGAAATCACCATTGCAACCATTATGGCACCTTAGTAAGCTATTGTGACACCATAACCAGCCATTTCATAATCATAATCTATTTGTCACTATAGTCAGCCATTCTGATTGTTAACGGACATTTCGGCTCTATAATTAGCCATTATGTTGGTATGATGAGCCATTCCGATACGAATCATTATGTATTGTAGCACCATATTCAGCCTTTTCTTTAAATAATCAATCATTAGGGCACCATTACTTATCCTTTTGCTCCATAATAAACAAATTTTTGACACCATATTATCCATTTCGTCACCATAATCAACCACTGTAGCAGCATCATGGACTAAGGTTGCACGTGTACACAGATGGTTGTCAGTACGACGTGTTTGTGGTGCACGGCGACTCAGCGTGTGGGTGGGTGTGGACCGTGCTGCTGCCAACACTGGAAGACGTGTACGGCTACACTTGCTTCCTTCCTCAACGTGACTTGTGTGGTGGTGAACGTAAGTACCACAACCTTCACTGCACCTTTTGTTCACTACATCTCTTGTTCACTATCTGCATTGTTCACTACCCTTATTGTTCACTACAAATATTGCTCACTACACGCGTTGTTCACTGCAAATCTTTTCCTCGTGCAGTTTATTTGTTCACTAGCCTTACAAACAATAATTCTCCGTGTTCCGCTTCATTTGAACTTCTGCATTACACCAGTATGTCTGTGTACAGTACATCTGTTTATGCTGGTATGTTTGTATCTGTCTGCATGCCTCTGTCAATATTTATTAATGCCAGTCTGTCTCTCTGGATGTACCTGTCTCTCACCCGTTTTCTGTTTCAGCCTGTATATGTCTATCTGTCTTTCGTAATGTACAATCGTCTGTCTGTTTATAAGTATGATTACTTATATTCATGTTGTCTGCAAGGGTCTGTCTACTTGTCTGTCCATATCTTCACAAGTCTTCAGCTGCCTGTGGGACAGTCTCTGTCATCTCTGCTTCCATTTATCTCTATTTCTGTTTCTGTGTTTTTCTCTTGTAAAGAGGAATAGAAGATAAAAATATCTTTATTTCTCTTTGCCGCTGTCACAGTCTGCTGGATTTTGTCTTTCTGTTTCCTGCTTTGCCATTTCCAAATTAGTTTTTCATTGATAACTCTATCCATACCTTTATAAAAGTTTAGGTACATGTTTTATTATTTACAATTTGAGCATACATACAGAGGTACAAAAAAATACAGATAAGAGCAGCATATATAATCTTACTATTCATCTCGAACAATTTCCGTAACTCTGTCATAATAGGTACAAATTCGGTATGCATGAATTTACAGACCGAAAACCAAATTGTTTACCAGTTAGTATGTTATTATTCTCTCAGTATTGAATCCAATTTTCCCTAAATAGCTTTTTTTCAGTAATTTTATATCACCACTTGTCAACGAAACCGGCCACTAGTTTAAAGGGTTTTCCCGATCATTGTTTTTTAAATGTGTACAGAATATGTGTTATTTTCAATGTGCTTGCTATTTTACTGTACTGAAATCTTAAGGATTTTCCCACGTGAAGAGGACAAGTCTTCTGCATGTTCGCGATATGCTGTCTGTTCCTGTGGCTTTTATTTTATCAGCATCTAGTAACATTTTCTTTATTGCCTCTTCAGTTATTTCAGTATCCTCTAATTCAACTGTCCAGGATTAGAATCTGCTACATGAAAAAATCTTCGTTAGTAAACAGATTTTCTTCTTCTTATCAGTGATTTCTCCGACATCTTTAATTGTTCATAATTTGTCTTGGTATTTGTCTGTGTAAGTCTCTTAATGACTGTGCACCGGGAGGTTTATGTCAGTGTGTTTAAACCAAGAAATGTTTATCTTTCAGTGCGTTTTCAGTGAGAAGTATATATCTCTCTCAGTGTGTATACACCGAAAGGTGTTTATCACCCAGTGTGTATACAGTGAGAGGTGTATATCTCTCAGTTTTATGTTCACCGAAAGATGTATTTCTCTCAGTGTGTGTACATACACTGAGGGTTTATATATCTCAATGTATATACATCAAGGGCTCATTTTAACCCCCATTTTAAAGATAACATTATTCTTGAAGCTAGTGCAGAGGTGAATCAAGACTTTAATGACTTCTCGTGCAGTCAGCAGGTTACAACACTGAACACTCTAAGTCTTCTCACAGTGGTGATCGAGGTGATGGCAGCAGCGGTGGCACAGTGCAGACGTGTGGTGGTGGTGGTGACTCCATGCTTACTGGCCAACCCATGGGCAGCATGGGCCATGTACCATGCCATGCAGGCCGCCCTTAATACTCAGACAAGAGTCCTGGCGCTTGTACTTAAGGTATAATCATTGCTAGTTAAGAATTTTTTAGGCGTATTATATATATACGTCGTGCTGAATAGGTAAAACTTGCGATTTTGGTTTAAATAGCAAGGCTCTGCTTGCCGAATAAGGCAAGCGAAAATTTGTGTATGCACTAATTTCGCAAAAAAATCATTCTGAACCTAACGAAAAAAATATATTTCATTGTGTTTTTTTATTATTAAATTATTGTAAACTAAAATATATTTAGCTGGATTAGGCTAAATTAAATTGAGCTTGTTATAATAAGGTCAGGTAAGTTTTCCAAGGTTCTTTTGGTACAAAATTACTAATTTTTACATTAACATAAATGAAAAAAATATATATTTAAACGTGTAAGAGGAAATTTTAGAAAGGATTTAATTTTAAATGAGTTCTTGCTAATTAACCAATTTTACCTATTCGCCACGACATACATATACATATATGAACAGTAGAGTTGACAGAGACACAAACCTATTAGAACTCTCGTGGTGACTGGTTCCAGTTCTATTTCTGCTACTCGCATGGACCATGGTTCGAGTTCCTGTTTACTCATTAACAGACATTCGTTACACAACTTATCTTGGGTTTATCCGTATGTTATAAATCACAAATGAACTTAAAAATGTTTTAACTACTTTATTTTAAAGTTCGTAAAAAGTTTAACCCCTCACGAACCAAAAACCATCAAGATTTTTGCTCTCCAAGTTGTTTGCAGGACATCCTTGTGTACTGAATTTAATACAGTAGAGCGACCCAACAAGTTTTGGTCTGCTCTCCTAATTGTAAACAACACATTTATGTACATTGTGTTTAATTTGATATGTAAATGGATTTTTATGCTGTTTTTATTAGGATCTGAAGACTGAGGACGTCCCTGACACCAGTGGTATCCTTGGCATCTTGAAGCTGGTGCAAAAGATCAATGTCCCTTATTGCTGTGACTGGCAGGGGGACGATCCCAGCGAGGATGTTGCCACTCACCAGCCACTCCACACCACTCAGCAGATGACTCACACCACTAAAATCTCTCGGAGCATCAAGAGATGCGAGTCGAAATTGACTTTTCCCCGTGACATATCTCCAACCATCCGATCACGATCCAAGTCACCGAATAAGCAGCGGCTTTCAAATATGATCACTGGAAACAACGCGGCTTCCAAAAAGGACTCGGACGATGATATGAAGATAAAGGTGGGAGGTCCTGTCATCTACACAGAAGAGAGTTACGGTCTACAGGACCCCGGGTCACCCTGTTCTCTCACTCCCTTCATTCTACCTTCCAGTGGTGAGAGCCACGCAGCTCCTAGCAACTCCTCGGTCAGTGTCTTAGAGAATTATGTTTCTATATGCATATCTCATCCATTTCACCTTTTCTTCAAGATCTGAGCGTAATTTGAGATCATTATTTACCTTATATTTAATTTCCTGATTCATTGATCGTGTACGCAATAAAATTTAATAAATTGTAAATACACGTAATGGAAAATCTGGAAACATAAATATGCATATAATGTTCTTTAAACTGAGGAAAAATAAAGCAAAACTTCGTTCATTTTTAATTTTCAGGCTATAAGTTAGTTGCTAAATGATATTTATTTTTAAAATGTTTGGTGAATGATTTTAATGTTACGAATTTCTGGTGCTAGTCAGTTATGAACAGAGTTTATCCAACAGCTGTTCGAGTCACTGAGGGAGTGCCTCAAGGTGTTGTGTACGGGAGACCACAAGAGGGTCTTCTGGCACACAGTTCGCTGTCACCTGGGTCCTCCAGCTCAGCAGCGCCGTCTTAATGACCACACAGAGGCAGAGAAACTGTGAGGTAACCACAATGAGATAACGTTAGTGGGCTCTCTTTAGAGGGGGATAGGAAGAACACAAATACATACACTTACAATGTCAGTAGGTTACCTTTAGAAGGGAGGGGGATACACGAACATACACTTACATTGTCAGTGGGTTATCTAGAGGAGGATTGGAAGAACACGAATACATGCACTTACAATGTCAGTGAGTTACCTTTAGAAGGGAGGGGGATACACGAACATACACTTACATTGTCAGTGGGTTATCTAGAGGAGGATTGGAAGAACACGAATACATGCACTTACAGTGTGAACTGGTTAACTTTAAAGGGGAAGGGGTTACACGAATACGTACACTTACAATGGGAGTGGGTTATCTTTAGAGGGGGTGGGCGGAAAGAACACGAAAACGTACACTGTACGACTCACTCGCCCTGAATTCAACCCCCACCCGTTCCGTGGTTTGTTTGCTATCTTGTTACTACGATTTCTTGAGTCTCGATTAAGGTTTTTATCTTTACTAATACGCATTTCCTGTTTTGTTTAATACGAAGAGAATGATGTCCTTTGTTCGTTCTAATATGAAAACTGTTTGTTTTTTTATATATTAAATGTTAAGGAAATTTTATTATTTACATCCATATTTTACCCGGGAAATAAAAAAAATGGAAAAAATGGTTGCTAAAAATGTCGCAGTGTGAAGAATAAAATAAATTATTAAAAAAAGCGCACTCATAATAAATATTTCGGATTATACTGTATTTAAAAATGTTGAGAATTTATTATTTTTTTTTTTTTTCAGAAAAAAAAAACTGCTGCGAGCAGAAAACTCGAAGAGCAGCGAGTACTGGACCACGGTGAGGGCCTGACAAGACCACGGTGAGTGCCTGACAAGACCACGGTGAGTGCCTGACAAGACCACGGTGAGTGCCTGACAAGACCACGGTGAGTGCCTGACAAGACCACGGTGAGTGCTGACAAGACCACGGTGGGGTGCCTGACAAGACCACGGTGAGTGCCTGACAAGACCACGGTGAGTGCCTGACAAAACCACGGTGAGTGCCTCTCAAGACCACGGTGAGGGCCTCTCAAGACCACGGTGAGGGCCTCTCAAGACCACGGTGAGTGCCTGACAAGACCACGGTGAGTGCCTGACAAGACCACGGTGAGTGCCTGACAAGACCACGGTGAGTGCCTGACCCAAAACCACGGTGAGTGCCTGACAAGACCCCGGTGAGTGCCTGACAAGACCACGGTGAGTGCCTGACAAGACCCCGGTGAGTTTCCTGAAAAACCACGGTTAGTGCCTCTCAAGACCACGGTGAGGGCCTCTCAAGACCACGGTGAGGGCCTCTCAAGACCACGGTGAGTGCCTGACAAGACCATGGTGAGGGCCTGACAAGACCACGGTGAGTGCCTGACAAGACCACGGTGAGTGCCTACAAGACCACGGTGATGCCTGACAAAACCAGGTGAGTGCCTGACAAGACCACGGTGAGTGTCTGACAAGACCACGGTGAGTGCCTGACAAGACCACGGTGAGTGCCTGACAAGACCACGGTGAGTGCCTGACAAGACCACGGTGAGTGCCTGACAAGACCACGGGGAGTGCCTGACAAGACCACGGTTTAGTGGGCCTGACAAGACCACGGTGAGTGCCTGACAAGACCACGGTGAGTGCCTCTCAAGACCACGGTGAGGGCCTCTCAAGACCACGGTGAGGGCCTCTCAAGACCACGGTGAGTGCCTGACCCAAAACCCCGGTGAGGGCCTGACAAGACCACGGTGAGTGCCTGAAAAAACCACGGTGAGGGCCCTGACAAGACCACGGTGAGTGCCTGACAAGACCACGGTGAGTGCCTGACAAGACCACGGTGAGTGCCTGACAAGACCACGGTGAGTGCCTGACAAGACCACGGTGAGTGCCTGACAAGACCACGGTGAGTGCCTGACAAGACCACGGTGAGTGCCTGACAAGACCACGGTGAGTGCCTGACAAGACCACGGTGAGTGCCTGACAAGACCACGGTGAGTGCCTGACAAGACCACGGTGAGTGCCTGACAAGACCACGTGAGTGCCTTGCAAACCACGGTGAGTGCCTGACAAGACCACGGCGAGTGCCTCTCAAGACCACGGTGAGGGTCTCTCAAGACCACGGTGAGGGTCTCTCAAGACCACGGTGAGTGCCTGACAAGACCACGGTGAGGGCCTGACAAGACCACGGTGAGTGCCTGACAAGACCACGGTGAGTGCCTGACAAGACCACGGCGAGTGCCTCGCAAGACCACGGTGAGGGCCTCTCAAGACCACGGTGAGGGCCTCTCAAGACCACGGTGAGTGCCTGACAAGACCACGGTGAGGGCCTGACAAGACCACGGTGAGTGCCTGACAAGACCACGGTTAGGGCCTGACAAGACCACGGTGAGTGCCTGACAAGACCACGGTGAGTGCCTGACAAGACCACGGTGAGTGCCTGACAAGACCACGGTGAGTGCCTGACAAGACCACGGTGAGGGCCTCTCAAGACCACGGTGAGTGCCTGACAAGACCACGGTGAGTACCTGACAAGACCACGGTGAGGGTCTCTCAAGACCACGGTGAGTGCCTCTCAAGACCACGGTGAGTTCCTGACAAGACCACGGTGAGTGCCTGACAAGACCACGGTGAGGGCCTGACAAGACCACGGTGAGGGCCTCTCAAGACCACGGTGAGTGCCTGACAAGACCACGGTGAGGGCCTGACAAGACCACGGTGAGTGCCTGACAAGACCACGGTGAGGACCTCTCAAGACCACGGGAGTCCTGACAAGACCACGGTTAGTGCCTGACAAACCACGGTGAGTGCCCCTCTCAAGACCACGGTGAGGGGGCCCCTCAAGACCACGGTGAGTGCCTTACTAGACCACGGTGAGTGCCTGACAAGACCACGGTGAGTGCCTCTCAAGACCACGGTGAGTGCCTCTCAAGACCACACTGTCTCGCTGAACCTACTGTAAAATTACTATTGCAGTAGTTTTTGTAATGCTATAACCAAGTCTTAATTGGCTAATCACAATTATATATATATATAATATTTTATATAAAATATATATATATATATATATATATATTTTATATTATATTTTATATATATATAATATTATATATATAAAAAACGACCCTGTTTGAAGGAGACTCGAACCTACGAACCTTGGAACAAAGTACACAGTGCTAATTACCATTCTCACCACACTGGACCCAAAACCTTGGCGTCCAGCTTGCGCTAGACGTTGATTCAAGGCTGTCAGCTTCAGGGAGAAAGGCTGCCTGGATCAACGTCTAGCGCAAAATGGACGCCAAGGTATTGTCCAGTGTGGTGAGAATGGGAATGCACTGCGTACCTTGTTCCAAGGTTCGTAGGTTTGAGTCTCCTTTAAACCAGAGATCAAGTTTATATATATATATATATATTAAAAATATATATATATATGTCGTTTCCGAATAGGCAGAACTTGCGATCTTGGCTAAATAGCAACGCTCATCTTGCCATATATAGGGCAAGCGAAAAATTTTTGTATGCAATAATTTCGCCAAAATCATTCTGAACCTAACGAAAAAAAATATGTTTCACTGTGTTTGGGTTTAGTATTTAATACTGTAAACAAGTCTAAAATGTATATAGCTGGGTTGGCTAAAAAAAAATTGTTCTTGTTATAATAAGGTTAAGGTAATGTTTTCTAAGATTCTTTTGGTGCAAAATTAAATTTTTTTATATAACCATTAAGAAAAAATATATCTTTAAACGTATTAGAGAAAATTTTAGAAAGGACTTAATTTTTAAATGATTCTTACTAATTGACCAGTTTTTACATATTCGGCACGACATATATATATATATATATAAATATATATTTTTATATATAAATATATAATATATATATAATAATATTTTATATATAAATAAATATTATATAATATATATATATATAATATATATAGCCCTAAACAGCATCAACTCTCCCCACTGAATACAGGAATTCTTCAGCAGTTCACAATAATATCAAACTTTTTTCACGAAAGTCCTATGTGCAGTCTGGATACACCATTTGATATTTCTTTCATATCCCTCTCGAAGCAATTATCCAAAATATGATCTTTCTTAAGACATCACTATTGCCTCTTCCTCAAAGAAAACGATATCCAACATCACAGGTTCTAAAAACTTGTAATGTATTAAGATAATTGATAAAAATCTCTGAATGATATATATTAAGTAGTGTTTGGATAATTGCTTTTTTTTGTAAAAATAAGATGTTATTTATATGATTTGGTAAAATAAGGCACACTCGCAGTGTGTTAATTCCTTTTTGTCCCTGATAATTACATTGTGGGAACATCAGCAGTGTGCTGCTACACTATTCTACGTAACAATCACATTGCAGGAACACCTATATTGTACTATTCATATGTTATTCTACTTGACAGTTACATAGGTGGAATAAAGGCTAGCTATGTTTCCGCTGTCGTATCCCAATCATCACTGGGATGTTTTCTTGTCCCATTATCGTCCATTCTTCGTCACATTCCACTGAACAATGTATGATGTCTACGTATTTATTCTATATATTCATATATATAAAATATAAATTATATATATATATTAAATATATATATATATATATATATATAAATATATATATATCCATTTTTGAGATAAAGAATGATATATACTGTTGTATCCGTAATATATTCTAGAGTGTCTTTATGTTGGTATATATGTGTTTGTATATGTATTTGTGAATGCATAATACAGAAAATTAAGTGGTATTGATTTATAAACAAAATTATCATTTCCTGTTTTCACTGTAAATAAAAAGTATTAATCTTATTGCTATTTTTTCGCTTCCTGAGGAAATAAATCCAGAATTTTATATAGGAAGGCCCACATTACTCAAGTTTTTATTTATAAGTTAGAGAATAATAAACATTTCAAGGGGATTATCTGATGCCACTGGTGTTCTCTTGATCCAGGGCATTG